AGTGTAGTTGTACGGTTAGATCAAGGCAATGCCATGGCCAGACAGCTGGGACTAACTAAGGGAGTTTGGCTTAGTTAGATAGTCCTGTTATAAAAAAACTACAGAAAACACACCCAAAACATGACCACTAACATTCTAGTCTATGTCAAACACAAAGTTGTCCTACAGTTAGCTTGCTAAGCCAGACACACTGCTTTGCAGTGTCCTTACCAACACTCTTTAGCAAAAAGGGTTCTATATAGCACAAAAAAAGATTCTATGGCTTGTACCAATAATGGAACCATTTTAGGCACTATATAGAACCATTGTTTAAAGTTTTCTTCCATTATGTGATCTACCTTTGAATGTGTTGAAAGGACTTAAAATAAAAACAGAGCTGAACAGCTTGCAGTTCCTGGTATTCCAAGGTGGTCTCCCATCCAAGGCCCAAGCACACTTCTTAGCATCTGAGATCAGACTATAAGAAGGGGTTCTTAGAGCCATTGGTAAAGAGTTTGTTTCTTATTTGTTCCATAATATCATCTATCTTTGATTATATTGAAAGAAGACTTTCAAAATACAGGTAGAGCTGAAAAATGTCCAAGATGGTCTCCCATCCAAGTTCTAACCAGGCCTAATCTTAACCAGGCCTAACCATTTAATTATGCACAGAACTATTTATGCATTCAAAAGGTTCTTTGAGTTGACACAATTCTATATATAACCACTGCCTTTACTAAAGAACACTGAATAACCCCCTTTTTTGGGTGTAGTGCTTTTCATTCCACCCTGCTGTCAATCAACATCATTCTCACAGAAAGCCTAAGAAGAATAAACATTTTGCACTAAAGATCCTCATGGGGCAGGTCAGGACAACATAAACACATCAATCAGAACTCTCTCTCTCTCTCTCTCTGTAACATACACACGGACATGCACACTTAGACAGATGGAGGATTATGCTTCCACTCTTGTCAGTCAGTCTCAACAAACCTGAACCATCTTCCAGTAAGTCAAAGTCTTTCTAAAGTTTTGTAGGTACTTAACACTTATTTGGAGCTGTAAGGTATCTTTTTTCCTCTCTACCAGTTTCCAAACGTCTGCAGTTGATTCATAGACACGCTTAATTCTGGAACCACAATGTACAGTCATAACTGTCCACCTACAACCTTTGTGTAGTTTTGCACTCAACTTGTACATAACAGGTAAGAGATAATTAGATTTTTCCCTAAACGACTCCTTTAAAATCGTATATGGTGTCCTATTATATATAATATACAACATATACAACAATACTCACATATATTTTATGCCCATTCCAGTTTTTCATATAATAACACTGAGATCAGCAATAAGAGTTATATTTACTACTCCAACCAAGATATTAAGAATATTGATCAAGCAATCCATCTGTCTGAGGGCTTGCATAAAACCTTCAGTAGATATATTCTAAGGGGACACAGAAGCTGAATACATTTCTCCATTTTATGGAGAAATAACTGATCAGAGGTGGGTAGAGTAGTTACAGTTAAACTCAGTATTGTGAAATGAAAATAATAATAAAGTAAAAGTAGACAAAAAGTTCTTGAAAAGCAGTACTCAAATACTCAAAAAATACTAAAATAATGAAATCTCTTAAGAACTAAAGTGAAGCTTCTTAGTAAATCTATCCATTTAACAGCACAGGCACTGACATTTGTCAAACAACATCCTTCTATTTTTAGTATCGTTTCAGCTAAAAATAAAACACTAAAGCATTTGTAAGCAACAGAACCGCTGCCCAGAATACAATGAAATCAAACACGACAAAGAGCAGCTCAGTGTAAATGGATTGAGTGAAACTGAATAAAAAGTACATTCATTTTTTCAGAGATGCTATAGTAACAGCACATAACCTATATAGATGTCTTAACATTGTCTAGGAGGCTATTTTAGCCTGGCTGGTTGCCACTCAAGCTGGTTCACACTCTCTTGAAATTGACACAGCTGTTGGTGGAGCTACAAGTTTCTGAGTTCAAGCACTTAAACCTGAAAAAAACTTCTGGCTCCTTATAACAGTGTCCCAGTCTGCCAGTGAAGTGCTGTACACACTTAACATGAACTAATCGTGAAGTCCGTTATTAATTGAATCAGGAGGTGTTTGTGCTTAAGTGTCCCAGCTCCCCACCTCTTGCATTTAATGAGACAGGACTCTAAACATGTGTATGCATGAGCTGTATATTAAATGAGCTTGTGTAATTTATATTAATGATATAATTATATTTCCTCAGGCCCAAGGTCGCTTTACAAAAGCAATGCATAGTGGCCCTAATGAGGGAAGTCTTGATACTATAGCAAGGATGGAAACCAGACTGAATGGGCTGTAGAGGCAATGTGGCACAAGGTGAGACTGTAGCTGAGTTTTGCAATAAATGGCAGCTTAGAAATAGGTCTATAGTTGCCTAGATCATCAGGATATGTCACTTAGTGATCTGATATAGAAGTTCAGGTAGAATGGAACTGGAGAAGAGGCAGCTGTTAATAAAATAAGAGGAGCTGAGATAAGAGTCAGTCTAACTGACAGACTGTAGAGACTGATTTACAAATTGATTCTGTTACAGTTTTGGGAAGAGTAAAACTGGCAAGAGCCTGCATAGAATAAGCAGAGTCAATTAATACATGAAATGAGGGGTTAGGGTAACAACCTTTATAATAACTAAGTTTAATAAACCATTAACTGACTATTAATACATGTAAACAAATCCTTAGTTCATCAGAATGTGAAAATGTACAAATGTTTATAAATAACAATTCATGTAGTTGTTGATGTGTACATTCATATTTATAAATTATATACATGCTGTTGTTCTGTCCATTTATAACACACCCTTTCACTGAACAGGAGTTATAACTTCATATGAATTATCTAATTACTTAGCCACAAGATATTTTATTATCATATATACATACTGGACAAAATGTAAAGTTTATGTCACTATTAGAAAGTTATGCATTTTAGCAATTTGCTGCAATGATTTCTGTACATGAACTGATGTTGTACAACTCAGTATTTATTAGTGAAAGGGTTTGGTGCAAAAGAACAACATGTACGACATATAATATTGATGAATACATCAATAAATACATTGACTATCATTTAAAAACATTAGTATTCTGATGAACGAAGGATTTGTTTACAGCTATTCATGGTCAGTTAATGTTATATTCAACTTAGTTATTCTAGGGTGTCACTGGGGTTAGTATTAGAGAAACCTTACAAATTCTGTCTTTGTTGGTCCTAGTCATGAGACGTAAACAAAGTCATTCAAAGTGGTTTCATGTAAAATAGTTAATTACAGAGAATCTTACTGACTTGGATTTCACAGTGATGCTGATAGGAAACAGGGTCATAATATAATGCAAAACAACAAGTGAACTTACTTGCCTTTTAAATGTGATGTTGAGGGTAAAACAGTGTTAATTTTGAAAAGCGTCTTTGGGGACTATTTTGTCTTACAATGCCCTGCATGTACCATTCCAGCTTGAATACATTTTATGTACAACAGATGTCTGATTCTCATCACCACAACTCTGACATTTCACATCAACCCACTCTGAATGACTTTGTTTACATCTTATTGATTTCATTAAACAGAAATGCTGAAAAAATACTCTCATTTCCTTTTAAGCACATCTGCTGCCAACATGATCAGTGCTGGACTACATGATTGGAAAGTGAGAGTGTGTTTTCATTCAGGGGCTGCTGGGTGTCAACTGTAAGAACTGAAGTCCTGAATTCAGCACCATGGACAGGGAACAGGAACTGTGCTCAGCCTTCTCTTAAAAAAGCTTCAAAAGGATGTTGTAAGACAGAGAGAGAGAGAGAGACAGAGAGAGAGAGATGTGAAGTTCTGATTGATGTGTTTATGTGCAACAGTCGGTTGCACCTCCACTGAAACAAAAGCAAGTTTTTTTTGTCATGTTGTGGCATAACATCGGTGCAAATGTGAGTTTATAAACACAGCCTGGTCAGAACACAGTGATTTATGTATTATTCAGTATTCCTGTCTACAAGGCAGTGTTCCATTCAGCAGGTACTTCTCAAGGCTGCAGAAAAAACAATATTGCAGTTGTTCTTCTAACTGTGTATTTTGGACATGGACATGCTGCATGAGCTTCATGTGGAGGCTCTATTACTATAGGAAGAAAAAAACACACCTGAAAAATGAATGGAAGGCCTTCCAGGGATTAGGCCAGAACATCACTGTTGCGCTATTAATGTTATTGAAATTCCACAAAACACTGCGCCATAATGCACACACACACAAGCACACACACTATATCATCCATCTCTGTGTCATTCTAACCTCCCTCATCTTTTTTTCCAGGAAAAAGCCCTGAGAGCTAACGCTTCCCCCACTGACCACACAGCTGCTGCACCATTCAAGTCCTGCTGTGTAACACTTTCGCTTCTTCTTTACTCAACGAGTACAAACACTCAGCACAAAACACACACTTGTCACGGCTACACTTGGGCAGCGCTGCAATTTCTGATGCTGTCTTGAAGCAGAACTACACAGACTTTACTGGTGGTTTTGGATAGTCAATAAAATGTCCATATTTGTGTTGTAGATATGGCGACCCCTGGTTCCCATCACCAACACTGTAAAGATAACAGAGTCTGTAAGTTTCTCTACAATGAACCACTTCATCGGTTTACATCTCAAGGACTACATTATTCAGAAATTTTCAAAAACTGGTGGATTTCCCCTTTAAAGTGGGCAACCCAACCGCTCCCCCACCAACCCACAACTGGAGCCTTTCGCGTGCTCTAAAACAGCTGGACGCTCGACCTTCATTCATCATCCAGCAGAGAAAGCGCTGGACCTTCATCTTTAGCCTCTGATCCACAAGTGCGCAAATCTCTCTCTCCCTTTCTCAGCCTGTTTCTCCTTATAATGCCTTATAAAGAGGTATAACACACACACACACACACACACACACACGCACACACTGTGCCTGTCCAGATCAGCAGCTCCTACCGTGCACTCGTCCATGCATGTCCGCACCGAGTATGCATCCGTTTCGTATTTCCGCACCAGCAGCTCGAACTCGTCGTAAGCCTCGCGCGCTTGCCGGTCCAGGTGCTGGTAGGCGCGCACGCAGCGTACGCAGCCCTCCGCGCCGTAGCCGTCGCCGTGGCCGTCGTCGCTGCCCTGGGCCATGGCGAGGCCGCAGCTGCTGGCGTTGGGCGGCGCGCGCAGGCCGTGGAACAGATCCAGGAGGGAGTAAGAGTCGCAGAAGGCGAGGTACAGGTCACTGAGGTTCCACTCGGCGCCGGACAGGCCCGAGCACACCGCGGCCGCCGCGTCCTCCTCCGCCGCGAAGCAACGCTTGGACACGCTGTCCGGGCGGCACGAGGCCAGCGGCCGCACGGGCTGGCGCGAGGCGCCGGCGGAGAGCAGCGCGCTGGAGCCGGACCCGGCCCTGGCCAGCGCGGCCTCGGCGCGCAGCCACAGACGGTCAGAGAGCAGCACGGCGAGGAAGAGGAGGAGGCAGGCGAGGGACAGTCGCCATCTGTGGGCCCTTTCTGAGTCGCTGAACGCTGGCTTTATCGGGTCCTCGCGGGGCGCGCACCACCACCACGTTTTTAAGCCGTCATCATCATCATCATCTTGCTGCCGACACGTCCGAGCGCCGCTGGTCATATTTTAGGAAAGCGCAGCGCTGGCCCACTCCACCGCGGCGGCTCCTGGGTGGCCACAATATTCATTGACTTGGGGTTTGTGAGTGTATGTTATTATTTGTAACCCCTGTGTTTTATTTTCTTAATTTCATTAATACGTATTTATCTTTTTTGGAAAAGACGGAAATGGTCTCCCTCTCTCTGTCTCTCTCTCTCACTCGCACACTCTCTCTCTCTCTCGCACTCTCTCGCCCTCTCGCACTCTCTCTCTCTCACACACACTCTCTCTCTCTCTGTGTCGATCCCCTATTCCGGTTCGGTTAACGCGCTGGCACGGATTAGGCCACTCATATTCCCCTCGCGCGTGGCTCTCCGGAGCTCACCCCGCTTCTTCTCCTCCTTCTCCACAGCACCATGCCCTTCTTTCTCTCCCCCCTCTCTCTCTATCTCTCTGTTTCTTTCTCCCTCCCCCGGGCTGCGCTGGTGAGAACCTGCCGCCTCTCTCTCGCTTTCTCTCTGTATCTGTCTCTCTCTCTCTCGCTCTGTGTTGGTCAGCGGAAGGCGCGGTGCTCTCTCCTCCGTGTGTGCAGCGCGGGTCTCCTCGGTGCTTCTCCGTCGATGTCCAGATCGGCCGCGATCATGTCGCCCCCCGCGTTAAGTCGCCGCCATGTTCGCGCGCTGAAGCACTTTTTTTGGGAGCGGAGCGCGGTCGAGTGCGTCATCTCCAGCGCTGCGGTCGCTCCATGCTGGCGCAGTGGAGGAGCGTTCACGGTACCAGCGGAAAAGCTGTCCGTTTTCACATCAAATCAAGAAAAAAGAACAAAACAAAAACAAAAAAACAATAGCACCCCAGAAAGCACACCTTCAAAACACGGCCGCAGATGATCGCCCTCTGTAAATCCCCACAGCGAGCGCAAAGCGATCCGGCATTTACTGCAGTGATTATATTCCGCTGCTTGAAGAACCGGAACAAAACATCAGTCGATGATTCGCTGTTTTTCTCCCCCCTTTTTATCCGTGCTCGCTCTCATTCACCAAGACGAACATGCTCAACAATCCGCACATTTCCACCGCGGCGATCAGAAAGACGAAGCGTCCATGACGGTGTCCTTTAGAGCAAAAACAAAATCCTCCCGAAAAAGAGAAACCCCTCCGGTCGACGTAACGCCTCGCGCTTAGCTCGAGAAAGGCGCAGAAGAACGAGCCATCAAGTCGAATGACGCTAAGCTATAAAGCCAAAGCTCGCGCATCCGAGGCCATGTGATCCGCGCGGAGGCTTTCCGAGGCACGAGCGCTCCTCTCTGCTCCTCTTCTCTCCTCTCTGCTCTTCCTTTTCTCTCCTCCTTCTCTCTCCTCTTTCCTCGCTCCGTCTCCCCCTCCGCTCATTAGTATGCACAGTGACACCGGGGCTGCGCGAGCTCAGCTAAGGAGAGACAGCTGGGCGTCAAAGCAGCAGCACGTTGGAAGGCGAGCTGAGGAACGTGAGGAGCACTGTGTGTGTGTGTGTGTGTGTGTGTGTGTGAGAGAGAGAGAGAGAGAGAGAGAGAGAGATACTGTATGTGTGTCTTCCAGTAACCTTGTGAGGTTGTCTTCGGTTTCAGAGCAAAAACACACAGTCATCATTCGTCGTGGGCAGAGATACACTGCACTGTGTGTGTGTGTGTGCGCGCGCTCTTTATTTCAGTGTTTGATTTTTCTTCCTTAGAGTTGCCAAATCACTAACAAGTTCAACAGTTTGGAGGGCCACCAAGGAAACAGACCCTTAATTAAATGGGCTGTTTATTGAAAAACTAAAAAAGACAAGCTATCATCATCATCTGCCATCCAGTGCAGTCTAGATAGAAAGACTCTGTGGACATGAACCTTGCTGCATCTTTTCCATTTCATGTTTTTTTGTATGTTTGCCAACCATGTTGATGCTCTTGTTTTTTAGCTGTTATTCATCCCAGTTGATTTTTCTTAGATCATTTAAGTTTGAGAAATTTCTGAATGAGTGTTTATTCATCAGTGGTAAGTGAGTGGCAAAAAGAATTGAAGACATGAGCAAGGTTTGGCATTGCGAGGAATGACCACCTGTCACATATACAAACAGTGGGCCTCATTCACCAATACCGTCCTAAGTTTTTCTTAAATTTGTTCATGTTAAAGGTCCTAAGAAAAGAAAGTCTACGTCAGATTCATGGCGTTATTAAACCACAGAATTGTTCACACCTTTGTTCTCTTGAGTGTGTGTAGATTCTGTTCTTACCTAAGAACAAATCCCAAATAAGAAAACATTGGTGAATGTCGGAATCATCAACTGTGTATGTGAGTTTTATAAAGAAAGAACGATTGGTGAATGAGGCCCATTCTTCTCCCTCTGCAGTCATTCAAAACTTGTAGGATGTGCTAAACAGTGTAAAAACTCAAACCCAAATGTGTCTACTTGTGGTCCCTGCAATAACTGACCATTTGCAAAATTCTGTCAAGTCCCGCCTCCCTTTGTTACTGTTACTGTTGCTGACCCAGCACTAGAAGCCCTGACTGTTTGTACTGAAATCATCACATTATAATTACTTATTTTCTTGCAATTAGTTGTTTTTTTCCAAGCAAGGTGTTTGCACTGTCTGATTGAAAACTGAAGTGCACCTATTTATGTGAGAAGAACAAACTCAAAAAGACAAGTAATGAGAGAGTAGGGGCGGAGTCTCCCAGAATTCCTAGTGAGTTAGTTTGTTGGCTCTTTTTTTTTCTTCAGATGTTGTTTTCAAACAAACAACACGTTTGCATGTCATATGTAGGTTAAATAAATGTTTGGATGCACTTTATATGTTTTAATTATCCTAACCATGAATGTGTTTAGTGTCTCTGCTGAGTAGCCAGCTTGGTTATAACAAAACAACTTAAATTGGTGCTAAATCAGTAGTTTTTGGTATGAGTATGTAAGAGTAGTTTGAAAGATGTTTTTGAAAGAGTTTTTATATGTCTCAGCTTGTGATCATTACACGTATGTCAGTGTGAAAATGAATACATGAAACAGTGTAGTAGTTACTTCAACTTAAAAGTTGAAAAGAAAGTTTCTGCAACAGTAGCTCGTATGACATATACTTTGTTTGCTAAACCTAAATGAATGAGTGTATTCAACACCATGTATAATTTCAAACAACTTAAAAAAACTGAGTTTAAAACTTAACCCTTTAAAAGGCCAGGGCCCACCTGGGTTAATTCATTTGAGGCACCGAATTACCTCAGAAAGTTTAACTAAACTAAACTTGACAGGGTTTACAGTGTGGTAGCATCTGTAGTTTTTGTGCTAACAAACTAAAAAGTTAAGTAGCACCAAGAAAGCTTTAGAAGGATGATTCTGGAAACTATGCTTACATAATCATACCAGGAAACTCTTTCAGTCACTGCACGCTAAAGCCTCAGATTTTCGTCTCTAAAAAGGAAAAGGTTTGACCAACTGAGGCTGCCTCTTCAGAGCGAAAAAATAAAAGGTGTAACAGATGATCTAAAGCCAAAGCTGACGCTGGAGCTAAGGAGACTAATCTCAACATTATTTTGTAATATCATTCATTGCAAACATTACATTGAAATAAACAGATTCAGTGACTTAGATAAAGTATAGCTTCTCTTAGAGCCTGCTAATAGTTTTGACACTGACACATACTTTAATTCAGCTTTAAGAAGAAATAATAAAACAGCACCACTCTCCAGATGATGAGGATAGGGTGTGTAAGTACACATTACCCACTGACTTCTTTTACTTCTTAGCCTTGTAAATCTAGCTATTACTGCCACCACCATGCTCACAGTAGAGTTGTTCAGAGAAGTTTTGCCTGAGTTCTTCCTTAATTTGAAGGAGAAAGAAGCACTTAAGAGATGGTTATGATTGGCTGAGAGGCGTGCCAATCATATTTTGCAAACTCATCTAATATTTCCCAGTATTACCTCTGTAGACCATGTTTTTGTTTTTCTCCCAAATATAATTCACTTAATTCAACTTATCAGATTAATGTCAAGCCCTCACTGTGAAGCATTCAAACCTGCATAGACCTGGGATAAAAGTGCATGGAAGACATAAATAGAGTGCAAAACATATCTCAATACTGAGATTATCTATTGTACACTAATCCAGCAGTCTGATGATTTCCACTGCACTTTATTGCATCAATGTATCATCAGTATCACTATTTTCATGTATTTTTTTAAGGCTTGTGTAGATATCGATTTGTACACTTGGACCCTTTCCGTGTTCAAAGATATACCCCAAATGAAAGCAGAGGTTAATGAACAGCATTCGAGTAGTTGTTACACAAGCATATCTGTTTTGTTGATGCTTATGGATGAATCATGACAAGGGTTCTCTCATGTTCTCTAATCAATAAGCAGCTAAGAAAATCCAATGTCAGCTTGTATCCAGTGGACAGTCAAATTTAATGATATAACAGCTCAATAAACCCCCTTCAAGCAAACAGGCTCTGGAGGAACAGGTATTTCACTTTCACCAACTTCAGTTCAGGGTTTCACTTTATTAGCACAATTGTTGCACAATGCAAACATTTGTAGATAGTTATTTGTACATTGGAGGCCACCTGTGTGCAACCATATGGCCTAGGCCTATGTTTCAAAGAAAAGTAGATGCTCACATTAGAGAGGTGGGGGTGGGACATCTCATTAGTCACCAGTTGCACGTTTGTGGTCAATTTTAATATTGGAAATCAATTTAAAGCTCCCAAGGAACCCTACTCTCTGGCTACCTTTTTATGCTGCATTGAAAAAATAAGGCGACCTCAGTTTCACCTCTTATTGTCATAGCAACAAACATTTGCTGAGTAGCCCACAAGGTTTGAAAAAACACCCTCTGGGTTCATCTCTTGCCCTTGGAGTTATTTTTTATAGAATGGATCTGAGGGTTTCCTGTTTTTCCTAGTTGACGTCCCAGTAGATTTAACTCCAGGGTAGAACATTCTACAGATTTTTTTGTGGCTGAATACCAGTTAATGAGCTGGATTCATGCCCGGAGAAAAACAAATGGTGCAGTGTCAGCATCATTGCATCATTACAGGTAGACAGAGCATGTTGGTTTTATGTGAATAGCCTTTAACATTGAGACTCTGTCTTAAGAAATACCATTCAGTAGTGATTATATTCAGTAAAATGTTCATGCTTCCCTTTGAATGTATTTATGTTTTTTCTCTTTTCTTAAAATTTCGATTGAGTCAGTACTGGTGTGGGAATTGCGGGGGTTTGCTAATTAAATGTGCTGTGAGTCTCGGGGTCTCTGTGCGGCCGCTGGGGCCTCGCGCTAAATGAATGAGCAGATCATTGAGTAGATAAATGAATGTGAGATAGCCAGGGACAGGAGGCAGACTCTGACTCACTTACCTCAACCACGGAAGCAATACCTCACATGTCTGTGCTTCTCAGGGGCCGTTATCCTCAGTAATTATACACAGTGAAATCATCAGTGCTATATTCTTTCGAACATGTACTGCTCTACAGATTTGTTCACTAGGTTGTATTTGGAAGGAGTTAATTCAGTCATCCTGCTTTCACAATGTAATGTACACAATGAGCACAATCTCTGTTTGACCCCATTCCTAGAAACCTGGAGTGTAGAATAAATGTGAAGTGAATGGTAATGGTACTGAGGTGAGGGGAGGAGTGTCTCTGCTCCTGAATAAGTGAAGGTGTTGCTATGGTGCTGAATAGAGAGCTCAATCATAGTGAATTAGAGTTTTTCCAAATCATTAAACAAAAATCAATAGTAGGAATGTGGATTGATTTAGTTTTGATTTTGATTTTGAAAAAGAAGAAGAGA